TATCTATTTATACATTTATATATAATGTAACTTAATCACCGATATTGACGAGTGAATCATCATATTGGCACATATACTTAATATTTAAATCCGTGTATTTATCGAAAGTCTTTGTCGAAAATTGCTCAAACAGTTCAATGGAAATTCGGACACTTCTGTCAGGTCAGTGGTTTGACGAGCTGCTCGAGAGAATGTATCCGAGTATTCACGTGAGCCGAGTCACGTAGGCTCCTGAGTACGTTCTCATGATTTCGGGTCAACGCCGCTCTAATAAGTCCCAGGTTCCTGAGGACGATCACGTAGGTCCGTTAGAACGACGTGCAGAGGATCGCGTATCACGTTACCGCGAATGAGAACGAACTCGCGAAGATGACTCACACTCTTCCGAAACGCAGTTTCTCTCTTGCACTAGTTATCTCGGAGACATCCAAGTATTTACTTCATGTTGCGGTATAGTATTAAATTCTCGAATTAAAGAAATTAATTTTCGCATATTAATCGCGCAATTAATAAACGCAATTAATAAACTTATTTAGGCGTGGTTTTTCATTTTCTGATTAATTCGTGATTTAGACTTAACTTGATGATAATGTAAAAATTGTGTTTTTCTAGATATGGTTAAAATTACTATTACTATATTATTAGTTTAATGAACCGTAGCTAGAAAAACACAATTTTTACATTATCATCAAGTTAAGTTTAAACCACAAGTTAATCAGATGAAAAACCGGATTTTATTTATCACACTTTGCAAATCAAAGAGTGCAGACAGAAAAGAGGAGTAGATTTCAAGATTTTTTTCGTTTTCTAAAATCATTCAGAAATTCTGCAATTATTTCATTGTATGAGCTGTAATAATTACGACTTAAATTTCGGGAGGAATAATAACTCAATCTCTTAAATTCAATAATATTTCATTATTTATAATTCCCGTGTATGTCAAAATGTAAATCAATCCATTAATTTGTGTGATTGTAGTTTCAAAGTAAACAATATGATATTAATGTATGCATTTAGTAAATAATATATTAAATTTGAGATTAACGTATACATTTAATAAATTAATAATTAAACTTGAGTCAAACTTATATTTTTTTTTAGTTAAATGGTGCGACTTCATTGTTTCAGTTAAATTAACGATGTATTGAATTGGAACAATGGCAACCAATAGAAATGATTAAAAATAACTTAAACTGGGTATAATTCTTTTATCAGTAAATTTAACACGCGCCGCAAAAATAATATCGATAATTTAAGTAGAACATTCAATGTCATTCTTGATCACAAAGTAACATTACTTATTATCAATATCTAAATTATCTAAACTGATATCGCTCCGATAATTTAGACCTAACAAGTATTGTAACATTATTTTTCGATCAAGAGTGACATTGAACGTTCTAGCATTAGATTGTTCATGTTATTAATTATTCTGCTGCGCACGATACATTATCTTGTTATACGATTTCAATTAACGATGAGAAAGACATGACGATATTCATTATGATAGATATGGCTCTGATCTTGACCGAGTGACGTACTCATTAAGATTCGTCCAATTTAAATAAAACACTCGGGCCACTCGAGTTCGCAGGACATTGATCCAATTCTATTCGATGAACCAGCAGTCAAAGAAGGCAAAAGAGGAAATGATTATTTTTAGAGTATCAAAAATGATTACAATAATTCCAAAAGAAGAAGCAAAAAATTAATACTTTTTTATAGCACAAAATTTATATGCTGTTTTACATTTTCATTCTTTTCGACTTCCATTTCTGCTCTCCGAAGAACAATTAAGATTTTTTGTTAAATTCGCTTTGAAATAATCATTCAGAAATTCTCGCTATTCACTTCGGTCCGACATTTACTCGGCTGCCTCTGAAGTTAAAAGTTAGTAAATACTTTGCCGTGTTAATAGGTGCGAGCTATACACGATTTATGGACGATTTCCGCGAGTCGGAATATACGTGAATAAATCACGCAGTGTAGATACCATTAGACGTTTACACGAAAACAGCATTGCAATTGAATACACAGAAAAAAAAAATTAATGCTAAATTTTAATGCATATTTCTTTGAATAATACTAAACGTTTACTTACAACAAATAAATATTTATTTTAAAAAATGGTAGTTAAATCAAATGATTTTTGTATCAAATAAATATATGTTTGTATTTAATAAATATTTACTTAAAATTATTCAAACAAATATTTATTAAAATTTAATATTTTTTCAGTATAAACTCACGTGCAAAAAGCAGAATAGAAGTTTACATAGAAGTAAAAAAATAGACAAAAATTAATTATTTTACAGCGTTAATAAAGAAATTCAGAAATTATAGATTACAGAGACGGTGTCTAATTTCTCGTAATACGACGAGGGAAACTGGAGGCCGTAATCCGAGCCGTGGATAAATTTAGCGTTGCAGTCTTTATAGCGTCTCGAATACTTTTTGCAAAGCATTATTTTACCTCGCGATTCATATCGCCGAGAACGACACCGGCTATTGTTAACGTTAAAAAGATGCGACTTGTAATTCAATACGTGCGAGAGAAGACGCGTGGCGGCGAAGAAGAAACAGATAGGATCGCGATGCGACCACAAGATGAAAGCAGGTGCCTCTGTCTTTTTTCGTCGGGGCTATCGACCAGACGACACTTTGCAAAACAGAGATAAAGATTGTAGTAGTAAAAGTATATACGCGTGCCCGAGCTCAAGTGACTTTCGTATGTAAGATTCACATGGCAAAGTGAGTATTGTGAGTAACGAAACAATTTAAAATTAATAAAATGAGCACTCTACATAATTCGACTTAAAAGATACAATTAAAAGATTTTATAAACAAAAGCACAGATAAAATTTAATTAAGAAATGTAAAGATTTTATTATCTCGGTGATCTCGGCATAATGATCTTAGCAATTACGGCTTGAAATTTAATTAGGGGAGCAGAACAAAGACTATATGAAGAAAACGTATTGAGTAAAATATTTTTTGTAGAAATCATTACGAAAATGATAAAATTATTTACAAAGTCTCGCATATTTTTTAGATTATTATCGGCATGTTTCATGAAGTATTTAATAGAGCAGCTGACCTCTTTTACTGTAAAAGGATAACCACGTAGAAATATCGGCTTCATCGCAGTCTAAAGTTTCCTGAGGAAATCATAAAGTCATATTACGAGATTGTAAAAAATTGTAAAAAATATTGGCAGGTGTCTACGGAAATTTTTTCGCGCGAAATGCGCAATTTTAGCTATGGAATTAATTTCGCGAGTTTGTCAAATTTCTTTTTCTTTTAATTCAATCAAGTACAAAATAAATGTTTATTAAATATAAAAATTTATTTGAACACAGAAAGGCCATTTTGCTAAAGTATCTAAAAATTTAGATAGATACAAATTTAAACTTATAACTTCATTAAATCGAAAAAATTATGTAGGAGCCTCAAACTAATTGCTAGAATGTTAAAACTTTTTATTCATCATGTTTGAAATTCCTACGTATATTTTCAGATTTGTAACTATAGCTAAATTTTTAAATACTTTAACAAAATCGTTCTTCCCTTGCAAGAACTATTAATTTGATTTAACAATCATTTTTTTCTGGAGTAAATATTTATTTAAATAAATGTTCAATTTATTATTCAAATAAATATTTATTAAAATTTAGTTTTTTTTTTCACGTACAAGTCATTGCTCTTAGATTCTTGATAAAGCAATCATTGATAATCTACGACTCCTTTGACACATATATTGAAACATTCAGCTCTTATCTTACTTTATTTAGAAAAAACGAAAGAAAAAACAGAAATGCATTATTTATGGACAGAAAATAATTAAGTCTTTGATCTGCAATTATAATAGTTATTATTGAACATTTCCACGAATGTCCGTGCTATTTTTATTTCTAAATAAATATAGAATGATTAAATCGCTAACCACAAATATTTTATCTATAATCTGCGTATATCAAAGGAAGCGGACATACGATAAAAGATATTTGCACTGCTTAAATTGGAACCAAACATTCTGCAATACTATACAAAAAATAATGACTATTTCATAACGCTTTATATATTTAAAAAAAAAATCAAAAAATAACTGAAGATAAATCTAAATGTAGAAAAGAGTATCTCGAATGTATCGAAAATATAAAATGTACAAAAGAATTTCATAAAATTAAAAAAAAATCAAATTCTAGAAACAGAGGAGTGCTTCTTAAAAAAAAAAACTAGAAAAAAATAGCGTATCGAGAATGTAGAAGTACACAAAAAATTAAATGATTTAGAAAAAATTGGAAAAATGACACTGAAAGTGTCGGGAGGCAGGCATTGTTACTTCCACGAGAAGCGCGCGACCGGACTTTACAAATCCGGCGTATTTCGCTCCCCGTGCAACTTCACGCGAAGCTCCAGCCGGGGTAAAATATCGATTCACGCGCGCGAGACATGAAAAATTGAATCTTGCACCGGGCGCGACGCGGCGCATTGAAAGTAGGCCCGAAATGGCGCCAAAACTGCGCCGTGACGCGCGGCGTCGCGTCACGCCACTTATTTCGGCGTGACCCAACGGGTTGCTCCGATTATCGGAGACGCGCCGAGATCGTCAGATGACGAACGAAAGCAGAAATTTATCGGAGAAACAATCGTTCTCCAAGAATATCATTAAAACGGCAGCGAGACATCGGTCGAATCTGACAGTCGCTTTTTCTCGACGTTGACGCTCCAGACAAACGGAGCAACATCGGCGATGAAGTACGTTTGTTTACGCTTTACAGGAAGGAGGACGAGAGGCAGGCGGGCGGGTGGGTGG